TTGCCGAAGTGGGGGTGTAGAGAGGTGTGATCTCGTAGGAGCCTCCGTGGGCACCTCGTTCTAGAGGCTCCGGGTGCTTACTCGTGAGAGTTTAGGAGGCCACTGCGATGGTTTCATGAAATGAGCTCTCGGAAGAGAGGGCTTTCGTCTGAGCCTTTGAATCAGGATGCTTTTGCTGGGCACCTCGAGCATTGCATGCGGCAGTCGTCGTCTAGCCACTTTCGACAGATGTGGGAATTGCAGGAGCAGCCTTTAGGATTAGCTCCGTTCACGGTGCTTCCAAAGCCGAGTTTGGCCTCGAGCTCGGAGCGAGCAAGCCAGGCTAAAGCGGCTGCTGTGAGTATACATGTTGCTTCGAGCATTCGTATATCGCAAACCTGGAAGGGTCTCAAGGATCGTGAAATGCAGGCTGCTATCAGGAAGTGGGTTGCGATTATAAGGCTGGCGCCTGAGCAGTTTGATCCGGGACGACGAAGCACTCGCCTCGATCCTCTGGCAGTTGACTTTCAGAAGGGCTTGCAACATGTGTTCAGCGGCAAGGCTGCTGGAACTCTTAACAACCGTGCTAATCCACTTCTGCGATATGTTGCCTGGTGCAGTTACGAAGGGCTGCAGGCCTTTCCGATTCAGGAATCTGATGTCGCTTCCTTTGGCGCCTGCGCCATATTGCTTTATAACTAGGGCTTTGTGTTTTGTCGTTTGTGGCACGCAAAACACTTTCACGAATTTTGACAACAGTTTTCATTAATTGATTTGAAAACGAATTCATTTCACATGTCTGTGGCCTTCATGTTTGAGCATGACATCTCAACATGTTCATTTGCAATATATTGCTTAAGTGGTGGGTGGGTGGGGCGAGCCCCTCTTGCAACAAAGTTTGTACGGGGGGTTCGTTATCTAGACTGGGTGGGCCCAGCCATGGCAGGCGGATTTCTTTGGTGCCTGCTCTTCTAGGCTGAGTATGAAGCGAGACGCTAGTGACGCTTTTGAGCAGCATGTGCAGCATGCTGTGTTTCAACATTCGGTGACGGCGTTTACTCAGCCTTGGGAACGAGGACCCGTGATGGGAAAGGGTCCTAGATTGCCTTCTTTCCCGTCCATTAAGGGGAGGCCTGGCACGGCGGGTCCTTCACGACCCGATGTTACTGGGAGCAAGCCTGAGGAGGGAGACCTTTCAGCTTTTCTGGGCACAGCTTTTAAGCTGGCTAAGAAGGCTGGCTCTTCTTGGGATGCTAAGTCTTCTGCTCACAGGTCTGCTGCCTTAGCGAAGTGGTCTAGTATTGTTGGACCATATGCAATGCATTTTTCTTTTGGAAGGCAGATGCAAGCAGATGCTACTGCCGGGCGACAGAATAGTTTGGCATCTGTCCTGGAGGATATCTTTGCAGGCAAATCTACTACAACACTGCATACGCGTGCGGGACCTGTTGCCCGCTACATGAGTTTTTGCAAGTCGCAAGCAGTCTCCCCCTTTCCTATTACGGAGAGCTCTGCATATCATTACATGCAAGTGACTGGTGAGAAGTGCGCTGCGACTCACCTCCGCAGCTTCGTGGGGACCTTGGCTTTCTTGAAACATGTCATGGGCGCTTTCTTGGACGACGATGTCTTCAGTCCTAGAATTACAGGTTTGGCTGCAAAGCATTACATGACCAAGAGGAAGCTGCAGCAGAAGCCGCCGCTTCATGCCAAACATGTTTTTGCTCTGGAGGAGATTGTGTGTGGCAAGGTTGCCAACTACAGCGCTGCTGATAAGGTGGCGGCGGGATTTTTCTTATTCGCCATCTACGCTCGGGCGAGGCACTCGGATGCGCAGAACTCTTCTGTTCTTGAAGAGGACCTTTGTGAAGATGAGGATGGCGATGTTACTGGTTATCTTGAGGCAAGGATTGAGCGTTCCAAGACTTCGACTACTTTGGAGCGTAAAACTCGTTGGTTGCCTATGGTTGCTACAATCCATGGCATTTCAGATCAGTGTTGGGGTCTGGAGTGGATGAAGGTGCTCGCGGAGAACGGGCCCCCTTTAGGTGCGGGGCGGCCTTTGCTGCCCGGGCCCATGGAAAATGGTCAGTGGCAGAACGTGCCGCTGTCCCCCGAGGCGTCGGCTCGTTGGCTGCGAGGTCTGTTGTACAGGCATCCGGCCGACTTTCCTAAGAATGAGATTCATGAGCTCGGGACGCATAGCCTGAAGGCTACCCTGCTGAGCTGGTCTAGTAAATACGGACTTTCACTTCAGACCCGTTCAACACTCGGATATCACAGCAAGAGCAAAGGAAGTGTTTTGGTGTACGGCCGCGATAACATTTCGCAGCCGTTGCGTGAACTCGACGAGGTGATTCGCGCGGTGGCCTTTAAGAGATTCTTTCCAGATTCACTTCGTTCAGGTTACTTCAAGCGGCCTAAGGATGATGTGGAGCAGCCCGCCGAGCTTCTTTCGGATTCTTCTTCGGAAGATTCCCAGGACGAGGAGCGTCCGGACCATCGCGATGAGGAGGAGGCTTTGCAGCTGTTGGATCCTTGGGAGCCTTTTGAGGGTGCTCGTGAGTTGGTTAGCGGCATGCTTGCTTTTAGGCATCATAACTCACGCATCATTCATTTCTGTGATTCTCTTGAAGAGGGAAGCCATCTCAAGTGCGGCAGGGCTGTCACTACTAGCTTCTTTAAGCTGGACGTACTCCCTCGGATGCTGCATCCCGTTTGCAAACAATGCTTGCCGGTGCCTCAGTCGTGACCACTTCCCGCGCTGATGCAGGAAAAGTTGTGTGCACCGCTAGCTTTGCGTAGGGATTTTTTGTGTTGATTTGTGTTTCTGATTCAAAGGGTCAGTTGCCGAGCGTGGTCCTGTTTCCCACTACATAGCGTGAGAGTGCTGAGAGTTGGTGCTGTCTTCAGAATCGGCTTCAAAGCGGTTCGGATCTGCTGAGAGTTGGTCCTGGCCTAGGCAACGGATTGCTGTGCTTGCCTGCACCTTTAGAGCAATGCGCTTCGATTGAATACGACTGTCCCGAGCTAGCGGCCCGGATTAGATCTGCTGGTAGTGCCCCTCGCAGAGTAGCTGGCATCATGGCTGACAGTTCTGCTGCATACAGCGAGAGCACACCAGTGTTGAAGGACAGGCTGAAGCGGGCTGGGTTCGAAGATGGTCAGGTCGAGACGATCGCTTCTTCGGTCAAGACTTTGAAGAACCTGGCATTTATTTCTTCCTATAGTCCAGGCCAGGCCGATGATGCCCCTCTCATGGAGGTGCTGTCTTCCTTGCTGTCGCAGCCTGATCTTTCGATTGCTTTGAAAAGTTCGTGGCGTGCAGCTTTTCATGAGGCTTATGCTGTTGTTACTGCCGAGCTGAAACAACAGGTAGAAAGGTCAGAGGAAGTTCAGGTTCGTACCCTCACTCAGCCCGAGCGAGCCGAGAGGTACGAGAAGCAGGTGAAACGTCTTAGTGGCGTGAACATAAAAGGAAGTTCGGAGCCTTCTGAGCGGCTCGTCGATGTCTGTGTTGCAATCTACGAGCGCAATCAGCTTCAGTACGTGCCTTGGTCCAGGTGCTCCTCCAGGGAGCAAGAGGCGCAGAATGAGTCCCGTAAGGAGGTCAAGCTGGCTTTGGATGGTTCGGGAAAGGTTAAAGTTGACTCTGCCTCTAAGGAGGTAGTTGCTGATACGAGCACGGAGGTGCTTGTGATGCAGGCCCTGCAGCGCAGAGCTTTGGCCATGGAGCAAGCTAACATTGTTTCTTACACCTTGCTTGATCTTTGGCATCAGCGTTTGATGAAGGCCCGTCTTACGGATCCCCCTCCTGGTTACTCGAGGCCTTCTTTTGACCAGCTTCGTCTTGCTGATCAGAAGCTTTTCAGTGAGCTTCAGGATGAGACAAGGTCTGGGATCCAGGCTTTGAGTTCGGGGCGCCCTGTTGACAACTTGATCAAGGATGTGATGCATCGTGCAGAAGTGAGTTCGTTGCTTCTGCCACTCCCGGCGCCTGGTGTGGCGGCGGTTGCAAAGTCCACGGCTACAGCGCCGCCGCCTCAGCCGACTTGGAAAGGGAATGGCAAGGGCAAGAGCAAGTGGAAAGGGAAAACGGGGCGAATGGGCACTCCTCGTATGCCTGCTGAGTTGGAGGGCTGCAAGGCCTATACTCAGAAAGGGAAGCCGTTGTGTTATGACTTTAACATGTCCCATGGTTGCTCTCGCCCCGTGAAGAACAACGAATGCCAGAGAGGATTGCACAATTGCGCGTGGCCGGGATGCGGCGGTGCGCATTCTGCCTCTTCGTGCCCGAAGAGGCTGGGCAAGAAGGAGTGACTAGGCTCCTCACCTGATGCATGCCAGGGGTCGCACAAGCCTACGGCAAGTGTGGTCGCGAATTTGTCGAGTCCTAGAGGTGCTTCCTCTAAGAGACCTTTGAGCGCACCCGCGTTGTCTGCTGACTCTCGTGGCAAGCCGAGAGCTCACTCAACAGGCGTCGAAGAGGCCCCGTTAAACGGATCGGCTTCGGCGCAGCCAGGTGCTGGCTGTGTTAATGATGTTTCATTTGGTGGCAGCTGTATGCCTCAAGCGGGTACGAGCGGTGATGCTTTGGTGCCCAGTGTGGATAGTGCTCGGCGCGGGCCAGGTGTTGGCCCTTGGTTGAAGCCGTTGAAGGCTTCTCGCGGTGAAGCGGCATGTGATGATGCGCTGAGTGGTCGCGCTGATGCGACTGCGTCCAAGCCTGCCGAAAGTGCGAGGCTTGTAAAAGGATCTGGCGATGATGCTAGATATCGTTCTGAGCCGATTTGTGATGTCGAGCGTGTTTCATTCATTTCCTCTGAGCATTTTGCTGATATGATACTTGAGAAGTCAGAATTTCATGCCAAGGATTTGTTGGCTCTGTTTGAGATGTTGCCCTTTGAGGATTGTCCTCGCAGTGATGATTCAGGTGCGCGCGCTTTTGGGGGCGGCGCATACATGAAAGGTGGCATCGTTGGTCTCCGAGCAAACTCTCGGAAACATCCTAGCGCTTGTAGAGCCTTTGCAAGTGCCATCAGATTTGCTGCCCCGGCTTATCCTTTCACCAGCTTCTCGGTGCATGCCGATGCTCCGACTACAACGCACGTCGATCGGTACAATGCTGATGTCTACAACATAGTTTTGCCTCTTACCAGGTTTGAAGGAGGAGGCATTTGGCTGCAGGACGCATCAGGTTGCGTCGCTTCTCCTGAGGACAATCAAACTTTCGGAGTTGTGGCTGATGTTGCCTCAGGGCCGTGTGCTATTGACGCCAGGAACCGAAAGCACACCGTCATGCCTTGGACTGGCACCCGTGTCGTGCTGGTGGGGTTTTCTGTTTCCGCATTCTCAAAACTTAGTTCTTCGGACGCTGAGGCTTTGGCTTCTTTGGGCTTCAACTTGGACATCGTCCCCATTGGTCAACCCGCTCCAGCCTGTGCTACTTCAGGCCTGGTCGACTTGCGGTCTTCTTCAAGGCCAGCTGTGACTCAGACTTTTGATGATAACTCAGCTGTGCAGCCGTTGACTCTGTGCAAGCCTCCAGAGGATGTCACCTTTAGTTCTGTCGGCAAGCCTGCACGTTTGCTGGTGATTGAGGCTTGTTGTGGTTGTGCACGCTTGTCTGCTACGCTTAAGAAGGATGGCTTCGATGTCTTGCCACTAGATTGCGAGGGCAACCGACACAGGCCGCTCGCTACTGTGGTTTCGCTTGACTTACGAAAGCCTGCTTCTTGGGAGTTCTTGCAAACTTGCGTGTTGACGAATCGCGTCTTTCACTTTCATGGCGCCCCTCCTTGTGGCACTGCTTCCAGGGCGCGTGATAGGCCTATGTCATCAGCAGAGTGGGGGCCTCCCCCCTTGAGGTCGGAGCGTTACCCACAGGGCTTTCCTTGGTTAGCTGGTGCTTGGCGCGATAAGGTTGAAAGTGCTAACTTGATTTATATTCAGATGGCACGCTTCTGCGAGTGGCTCTCCTCCTTGAATATCAGTTGGAGTGTTGAGAATCCTGAGCGCAGCTACATGTGGCTGCTGCCGGAATGGAAGCACTTGCGTTCGCAAAGTCTTGATGTTGTCTTTGACTCTTGCATGTGGGGCTCTTGCCGCAAGAAATCTACTCGATTTCTTACCACCTGCGTCGAGATGCTTTCCTTGGCAAAGACTTGTGACAATAAACATTCGCATGCGAGCTGGCAGCCCGTTAGGAACAAGTTCGGCGTTCAATACGCCACCTCTGAGGAGGCTGTGTACCCTCATGAGCTTTGTCAGGCCATGTCATCAGCTTTGCAGCTTCAGGCTGCGTCTTTCAACTTGGAAGTTGTGCGTGAGTGCCCTCTTCAACAGTCGTCTTATGCAGCTGCTGCCTCTGCACGTCGGCAGCCCAAGCTCTCCAAGTACAAGCCGCTTCTTGAAGACTTTAAGTATCGTGTGACTGTTGAAGTTGCCTCTGTCGACCATTTGCCGCTTGATGCAAAATCATGTTTGACAGTTGCTTTGCCTTCTGTTCCTGCTGGGGCCAAACTCCTTCGCAGGCCGGTGAAAGGGGTGGGTTCCGCGTCGGGTTTAGGCCCCTTGGGTTTAGGCCCTTCCGCTCCCGCTTCGGGTTTAGGCCCTTCTTTCCCTTCGGCCCCCGGTGGCAGGCCTCTTGCATCTTTTGGCATTTACAGGAGTCCTTCTGAGTTTGTTTCGGCTGCAAAGGATTTGGAGCATCCTTTTGACTCTTGTAAAGCTGTGCCAGACAGGATTTTGGAGCTCGTTGCCTCTCTTCTTTCGAGTAGCCCTGTGGACATACTGAGGCATAGACTGTCCATTTTGCACAAATGGAAGACTTGGGCGCGCGATCTTCAGGCTGATGAAGATCGCCTTCATGAGAGTCTTGAACCAGGTGTTGCATCGGTGCTTAAAGGCAAGAAGCTTCTTCTTCTGCGTAAGGTGGCTGCCTCGCTGGGTTGGCCAGACGAGGCTCTTCATGATGAGTTGGTTCGTGGCTTTCGCATTACAGGACTGCAGGACGCGAGTGGCATCTTTGGCCTTGATCCTCGGCCGGCTTCGGGTACCAAGGAGGACTTGCTGAAGCAGTCAAAGCATCTCAGGCCGGCTTTGTGGGCGAAGATCAAAGGAGCCCCTCTGGACTCTCTGGGGCGCGAGCTGTGGGACATCACGTATGCTGAGTACCAGGATAAATCTTGGCTTGAGGAGCCGAGGACTTTCTCTCAGCTTGAGCAACTGATGCCGGAGGGTTGGGTTCCAACTCGCCGGTTTCCTGTGGTACAGCATGACAAGCTGCGACCGATAGATGACTTGACAGAGTGTGGCACGAATGGGGCTTGCAGTACTCTTGATAAGCTTGATCTTCGGGCCCTGGACGAGACGGTCTTTACAGCTATGCTGATTATGCGCTGTCTGGAGTCTCGGTGCTTTGCTTTAAGGTTGGACGATGGTCGTGTTCTTCGAGGGCGCGTTCATCCCTACTGGCTGCAGCATCCTGACAGGGCTCGTGTTCTCGTTAAGACGGTGGACCTTAAATCTGCCTACAAACAACTTGCGCTGCACCCGGATGACAGGAGGTTCAGCGTGATCTCTTTGAAAGATCCGGCCGATGGCGAGCCCAAGGGGTTCTTGTGTCGGGTGTTGCCTTTCGGCAGCATTGCAAGTGTTGGACATTTCAATAGGGTGGCGCGGCTGGTGCAACGGATTTTTCACGAGATGAAATTGCTTGCTGCGAATTATTTTGATGACTATCCTTTGCTGGAGGTGGCTGAACTGAGCCAGAACGCTGACCGTTGCGCCAAAGCAGTTCTTGACCTTTTCGGTTTTACTTGGGCCAAAGACAAGGATGAGGCTTTCTCTTCCTGCACTGATCTTCTTGGTGTCAGGCTGGCTACTTCTACTTCTGGTCCTGCTGCTGTTACTCTTTCGAATAAACCATCGCGAGTCGAAGACCTTCGCAATGCTATCGACAAGGTGGTTTCCGATGGCGTTTTGAAGCCTCGCGAAGCCGCATCTGTTTTTGGCCGTCTGCAGTTTGCTTGCTGAGACTCAGCTCCTTGGCAGGGCAGGTCGTCTTGCCATGGCGGACATTCGCTGGATCGAGAGAGCTCATCATGATGTGAAACTTGATGATTTGGACAAGGATGTTTTCCGCATGCTTGCTTCGCGTGTGGCTTCTGGGAAGCCTCGAGTGCTGACTGCTTCTACTTCTGCTGCGAGGGCCCTTGTCTTCACTGATGGCGCTTGTGAAGGTGAGGAGGGCAACCAGCAGCTCACGATTGGCGGAGTCTTGTACTTCTGGACTGGCAGGGCTTGGCTTACGAGATGGTTCAGTGGCTTCGTTCCTGCTGAGTTGGCCAGTTCGTGGCGAGCAGCCGGCAAGCGCCATTTGATAGGCCCGACTGAATTGTACGCGGTGATTGTGGCGAGGCATGTCTGGAGCCGTTTTCTAGGTAACACTCGGTCCATGTTCTTTATCGATCATGCCGGAGTTCTCAGCTCGTGCATTAAAGGGACCTCGCGCGATTCCGAGTGGAGGAAGCTTCTTCTGGCTTTCGAGAAGATCGACTCAAGCTCACCAAGCCTGACATGGTACGCGAGGGTTCCATCACAATCGAACCCGTCAGATTCGCCATCTCGAGGCTCCAGTGACTTTCCAACTTTCGGATCAGTGTCGTGTGACGAAGCTTCGTGTCCTATTGCGAAGCGCTCTTTGCGTGCAGTGGTCAGTGAGGTTGGCGAAAAGGGGGTTGTCCCCTGACCACTGGCGGTGTGCCAGTGGCTACTCGAGAGGAGATGTGATCCCTTCTCGATGCCACGACATGTGACGTGCATGACTACCCCACTGGCCTTTGTGCCGCAAAAAGAGCTGAGTGCGCTTGTG